TTCTTTTGGTTATGGTCGAATTCTATGGAGATTGCCTACGTATCATGACCACGCATGAATCAGACCGAGCGTAGTTCTGGAAAAATTGGGAATTGAGTAAACTAACTTTTTTTTTGTCTTTTTATAAAACTCAGACCATGGAGCTTTAAGGCTAAAAGAAAAATATTTTTGATTTTTTTTGTTTTTTTTTCTTTGGAATTTTCTAAAAAATGCTTTAAAGAAGAAAGGGATTTCTTTTTATTTTTAATTTTGATTTTGATTTTATTTTTTGAAAGAAAGACTTCTAAAAATTCCTTTTCTTTTGATTGGAACTTTGGGAATTTCAAAAGTTAAAAGAAAATATTTTTGGTTTGAATTTTCATTTGTTTTCTCTTTTTCTAAGGAAGAAAGAAAATATTTTTGGATTTTGGATGTAACCTCTTAATTTTCGCAAGAGGGATTTTTTTTAAGAAAAATGTTTTGATTTCTGAGCTTTTATTTATTTACAAAAGTACTTCTAAAGAAAAGCAAAAATATTTTTGGACTTAAAAAATTTTTTTATTGACATTTATAAAAGAAAGACATCTAAGGAGTATTTTTTTTGGATTTTTGTTTCTGATTTTTTTTGGAAATATACTTCAAAATGAAGGAAACCCGTATTTTTTGAATTTTGATTTTTATTGATTTTTCTTTTTTCGTATGAAAGACATTAGAAAGAAGAAAACTATTTTTTAGTTTTAAAAACTTCTTTTTTTTTGAATTTTCTAAGGAAAGTTTTCTAAACAACGAACTTAAGGAAAATATTTTTGGATTTTTGAAAATTGGGGTCGGAACCGATGAGGTTTGCCTACGTATCTCACATCAAGTGAGAATCAGACCCGCGTAGTTCAGTCAGATTTGACGAAACCAACTATTTTTGAAAACAAAACCTTTCTTTTTTTTTTTTCATTTTCTCAAATATTCGGCAGAGTTTCAGTACCATTTGGGCATTGGTTTTTCAAAACAGGCGATTAACTCACTTAACCCTAACACTGCTATTCTCTTTTCCAACTCTCTCCTATTATTCACAAGCCGGTCAACATGAAAAATACGAAGCAAATAAATGCACAAGTAGCAAGTAGGATGCATCAGGATGGTCTTTTAATTTAGGTACACCTGTCCTAGACGGACCCAACCCCTGTGTTGAGTCCCCTAAGTCAAATACACGTGATGCAAACAAACGTTCCTACTAGGGATCCGGCATGAGGCTTTGCTATACTAGGTTTAAAACCTGGGTTTATTGTTCTAGACCTGGCTTACCCGAGCGGACAACTCGAGCCGAGGGGGGGCAGCGTACCAGGAATACAGAAGCTTCGCCAGCTTAGCAACTTGTCCGAACCTCGTTCTAAAATGGGATAAGACTCTAGACAGAAGAGAATTCACACGAAGTGCACCCTTCTCCATGATGTAGAAGACTCAGAGAGAGGAAGGGTTTCGTAGCAGTTTATATATACAATTCACCAAATATCAAAGCGGTAAAGCATTTAGCACATTAGGATGAAACATGTAGGAAAATCAGATAAAGCCAATCATAACAGCTATTCTAAGCTCGAATTCTTAAACCCTAAACCGAAGTTCTGGGTTTGTATCCCCAGCAGAGTTGCCAGAGCTGTCACACCTCCTTTTTTACACACCACCCCGAAGGATAGTATATAAAGGAGTTTTTCCACTTTAAGTGACATTATTCGAAATGGGATTATTTATTTATCAGAGTCGCCACTTGGGATAGTTTATTTTCTGGTATCCCAAGTCACCGATTTATTTTAAATCCCAAATCGAGGAAAATTCGACTTTCCTTGTGAAGTCTGCGA